TGGTGGGGGGCAGGCCAGAGGCTGGGTGTTCAGGGTGCAGAGGCAGGGCCTGGCTGGAGGGAAGGCGGGCACCAAAGGGTTAATGCACTCATGGGGGGCATGGGGGCTGGGACTGAGCTGGGCAGGGGTCTCTCCAGCCTGGCAGGGGGGCAGGACACAGCCCCCTCAACACCGTTCCCGAAGCCCCATCTTCCCATTTCGTAGGTGGCAAGGTTGAGGCTGGGAGAGGAGGGGGCCAAGCCAGAGGGAGAACCCAGGCATGCTGGCACCCAGGCCCGGGGCCCTGCTGGGCTCCCCGGCAAGGGGGGAGTCTCCCCTGGGGCTCCCAGCCCCACCCCTGGGCCCTCCAGGCTGGGGGGGCAGCCCTGACTTGCAGGGGCGGGGGGAGCAATGCCCGCCGATGCCCATAAAAGGAGACGTGACCTCAGTGCCGCGTGTGTGCATCCCCCGCCCCGCCAGCTGTGATGCTGGGCGCTACCAGACCCCGTCATGGGGGGGTCCTGCCCCCCCCCCCCCCCCCCCACTCCCCTCACCCCCGTCGCCTGCGTGTCTGCCAGGGAGGAGGGGCCGCCCCCCCATGTGACAGCTGCCAGGCCTGCTGCGACTTCCTCCCCCCCCCAGCTCCCCGCGGCAGAGGGGGGGGGCAGGATGCCTGGGTTCTCTGCTGGGGGGAAGCCAGGTGCAGTGGTTAGAGCGGGCCCGGATGCCGGGGTCACGGGGCCGCAGTGGGGGGCCAGGAGCAGGGGCCGCAGCCGGGCACCGGGGTTCTGCCATGGGGGAAGGGGGCTGCCGCCCCCCGCCCACGCGTGACATCAACCTGTGACATCAGCCTCAGTGTACAGCCGGCGCTGTGACATCATAGGTGATGTGGCAGCCAGCCCTGGTGCATTGTCGGCATGGGGAGGCTTCCTTGTGATGTCATGCACTCTAGGATGACATTTGTGGTGCCATTGTGAGGCTTTTTGGGTACACAGAGTGACATCACAGGGTATCGTGACGTCATGGGGTGCTGTGACATCATGGCGAGGGATGACGATGTCATGCAGTGGATCTACTGGCATCATGGGACAAGACAGTGAGGATCACTGGCAGGGCAGTGCTCTGGTGACATCACGGGGTGGCAGCTGACACTGGGGGTGGGGTGTGCTGGTGACATCATGACGAGTACTGGTGACGTCACGATGTGTCAGGCGCCGCGGCGACGTCATGGAACAAGGTGGTTATGTCCCAGGGCGTTATGGTGACATCACGCTGCAGTGACGTCTCCCAGACGCGCAGGGGTGTGACGTATCGGGCCCCGCCCCGTTTCGGTCGCCCTGGTGACGGCGGCTGCTTCCGCCTGGCGCCGCTTCCGGTTACGCGGTGCATGCCGGCCGGGGGGGGGCTCCCGGTGAACCCCGCCCTCCCGGAGATGCGGCTGCACGTGGGCGCGGGGCCGCACGGGGCCAAAGTGCTCGCGGCCGCGGCCTGGGGC